ATGTCTGAGGAACCCTGATATCCCAAAAGCTTTGGCAGAATTTTGATGAACATGTTCAATAAAAGTTCTCTGTGTTTTCCAAGTTAAGATATGAAAACCTCCTTGGTGGCAGGCACATGCCATAGTTAGATCTTTTCTTTGGTGATGGCCAATGCTGGCTCCACCCCCACCTTGACCCTAGCATTTATACCTTCTTCCACTGTTCTCAGTGCAGCTGTCACTTGATGGTTGACCAGAGAGGCTAGCGGTGGGGCTGACGGGGAAAAAGGGAGTCTTTTTGAAACTCAGGTGTATAAATTATCCCTAAGCCCTGTTCCTCTGCCCTTACCCCCAGTCACATGCTGCACCAAAGCCTCTTTCCCCTCCCCTAAAATACATCCCTTTGATACTGTCTTGTATAGAGCAGACCTTGCCCTTCATTGAAACCTGATTATACCTACAGCAGCAGGGGGCAAGTAGGGGAGCACAACTTTTTTTTCTTCCCAGCCCAGAAGTCTGGGACTAAACATTGTTTCCCTTTAGGAATGACAAATCACAAAATATACTTTCTTCATTTTGATTTGGAGCCAAGAGTCTAAGGTAGCAAGAAGGAATAAGAAAGCATCATAACAGGCCACTAAAAATCTCTAGATTTACTACCAGGCTGGCTTTCCCCTCTTTCCTTTGGGTTGTGTCCTCAAACATGGAATGCATGGCGTCCGTGCTCACCAGCATGGTGGCCACTTGCCACAAGTGGCTAGTGAGCACTTTGAAATGTAGATAGTCCAAATTGAAACATACTGTAAGTGAAAAATAAGCACTGTACACAGAAAATCTAAAAATGAATAAAATATCTCAGTACTTTAGAAATATTGCTTCTATATTGAAATGATAATGTTTTGGGGGGTTTAGATAAAATATATTATTAAATTAGCTTCACTTGTTTCTCTTCACTTGTTTTTCTTCTAGAAAATTTAAAATTACATTGATGACTTGTATTGTATTTCCACGGATTGTATTGTTTAAACCCCATTTCTATTTGCAGACAATTTTGAGAGGCTTAAATTTTGTTATTTTAATTTTTTAAAATTAAATTAAATTAATTTTTATTTTTTATTTTTTTGAGATGGAGTCTCACTTTGTCACCCAGGCTAGAGTGCAGTGGCACTATCTCGGCTCACTGCAGCCTCAACTTCCTGTTCTCAAGCAATGCTCTCACCTGGCCCCAAAAGTAGCTGGGACTACTAGGTGTGTGCCACCACTCCCAGCTATTTTTTTTTTTTCTGTGTTTTTTTGTAGAGATCGGGTTTCGCCAACTTGCCCAGGCTGGTCTTGAACTCCTGAGCTCAAGCGATCCTCCTGCCTTGGCCCCCCAAAGTGCTAGAATTACAGGTGTGAGCCACCACGCCCAGCCAATTTTATTTTATAATCAATAAAATTTAAAATTTATAATCAATTTATTTTAAGTATATGTACTTAATATAAAAATTATAAAATACCAAAAAAGACAGGAAAACAACTCAAAATATACCAGCTAGAAATAAATATGTAGAGCTTTTAACTTTGAAGTCCCCAAATGTATTCATTGTATGCACCCATTTCCTGGGCGCATTTCTATTTCATATGCAGGGCTTAAATCAGAATGGTAAGAAGAAACCCACGACATTCTGTACTTAATTTTTGCAGTATGGGTTACATCAGTTTGCTTTGGGCGTTAAGAGAGAAAGAGTTAGGCCAGGCGCCGTGGCTCACACCTGTAATCCCAGCACTTTGGGAGGCTGAGGCAGGCGGATCACCTGAGGTCAGGAGTTCAAGACCAGCCTGACCAACATGGAGAAACCCCATCTCTACTAAAAATACAAAATTAGCTGGGCGTGGTGGTGCATGTCTGTAATCCCAGCTACTTGGGACACTGAGGCAGGAGAATCGTCTGAACCTGGGAGGCGGAGGTTGTGGTGAGCCAAGATCGTGCCATTACACTCCAGCCTGGGCAACAAGAGTGAAAGTCCGTCTCAAAAAAAAGAAAAAAAAAAAAAGAGAGAGAAAGAGTTCCAGTGTGTATGGCAACTTGAGGGAAAGTGGAAAGAGGTTCATGTTACCTTCTCTTCTTCTTTTTTTTTTTTGTCTTTTTTTGAGATGGAATCTTGCTCTGTGCCCAGGTTGCAGTGCAGTGACGCAATCTTGGCTCACTGCAACCTCCACCTCCTGGGTTCAAGCAATTCTCCCTGACTCAGCCTCCTGAGTAGCTGTGATTACAGGCAACTGCCGCCACGCCCGGCTAATTTTGTATTTTTAGTAGAGATGGGGTTTCTCCATGTTGGTCAGGCTGGTCTCGAACTCCTGACCTCAGGTGATCCACCTGCCTCGGCCTCCCAAAGTGTTGGGATTACAGGCGTGAGCCACTGTGCCCAGCCTTACCTTCTCTTCTAATATCTAAAAAAAGAACCCAGAAAGAAAAGGAAAGAAAGTGTGTTTCCTGGGCAATCACTCTCATTTCAAAACCGTGCTAAGATGGTGCTGGTTTGCCTTGTGCTGTTGTGAGCTCTGCTCTCGATCTCCCAGAATGCAAGCTGACTTTATTCCCAAAACAGACTTTGGCTGGTTTTCTTGCTTCAGCTTGGCAGGTGTTCATGGTCTCTGGTTTCAGCTGGCAGAAGATTTACAGTTGGTTACGGAAGAGGAGCTTTGAAAGGGCAGAAATTTCACATCAGCACACCCCTCAGGTGGAGGCCTCAGGTTGCACAGAAGAGAAATGCTGAGGGTTGCTCCGAAAAGTTTCCGCTGAGCTCTGTTGTTCAATATGTTTATCTGCAAACTATTTTAAAGAAAAAAGCTTATTCTCCTCACATTCCAGTTATGAGGACAGATGTGGGTATCTGACAGGCCTGATTTTTAGTACAGGATCTGCCCCTAATTAAATATATGTCTTTGGACTTAAGTCTCAACTTCAGTTTCCTCAGTTGAGAATTGGGAATAATAATGTTGACTATACCGTAGGGATGTTATGAAGACCAGATATGATCATACATGTAAAGGGCTTAGCATGGTGCGGGATGTTATGAAAACTAGATATGATCATACGTGTAAAGGGCTTAGCGCGGTACCCGGCACATACTCCATACTTAGTCCATGTTCACTGTAATTGCTATTGCCGCAGTTCTTTATTGAAGACTTGCACATGAAGAAACCAATATATAATGAAGAGAGTCTGTAGGAGGGGAGGAGCAGGCCCCAGTAACCACCTCTTCGGCCTCATTCCCCAAGTGAAGGGCTAGTTTAGGCCCATTCAGACCAGGAAGTCCTTGTGAGAAGGCCGAAGGTCCTGTGAGATTTGGGTCATCTTTCCCAGACTGTGGGAGTTCAGGATGGTTCTGGAGAGCCTGGTACCAAGGCCAATCCTCAGAGTCACAGTTCCTCCAAGGAAGGCTCCAACAAAAGCAGAAGCAGGTCGGGCACCTTGGCTCATGCCTGTAATCCCAGCACTTTGGGACGGTGAGATGGGTGGATAGCTTGAGCTCAGGCATTGGAGACCAGCCTGGCCAACATGTGAAACCCCGTCTCTACAAAAAATACAAAAATTAGCTGGTCGTGGTGGCGTGTGCCTTAGTCCCAGCTACTTGGGAGGCTGAGGTGGGAGGATCATCTGAGGCTGGGGAGGTCAGGGCTGCTGTGAGCCATGATCATGCCACTGTGCTTCAGCCTGGGTGACAGAGTGAGACCCTGTATCAAAGAAAAACAAATAGCCAGTGTGGTGGTGTATACCTGTGGTCCCAGCTTCTTATGAGGCTGAGGTGGGTACCAGGCTCTCCAGAACCATCCTGAACTCCTACAGTCTGGTGGGAGGATTGGAGAGGGGAGGATTGGCAGGTGGGAGGATTGCTTGAGCCCAAAAGGTTGAGGCTGTAGTGAGCTATGATCACACTACCGCACTCCAGCTCTGTCTTAAAAAAGAAGCAAAACCAGGATCAGCCTTGAAGTGTCCAGGGTCTGGCCTTGGCTGCTGTGACTGATGAAGTGATTGCAGATGCATAGCCCCCTCAATCAACTCTCAAGGGCTCCCCAGACCAGGTCTGGTTTCCTAATGCTGGGAGTCAGAATCAGAATTGTTAGGAGGGGAGGCCATGTTCACTAATTGTGCCCATGCCAGTTTAGTATGTTTTTTTTTTTCTTTTTGAGATGGAGTCTTGCTCTGTCACCCAGGCTGGGATGCAGTGGCACAATCTCGGCTTACTGCAAGTTCTGCCTCCCAGGTTCAAGGAGTTCTCCTGCCTCAGCCTCCCGAGTAGCTGGGATTAGAGGTGCTCACCACCACACCCAGCCAATTTTTGTATTTTTAGTAGAGACAAGGTATCACCATGTTGGCCAGGCTGGTCTCAAACTCCTGGCCTTAAGTGATCCTCCCACCTCGGCCTCCCAAAGTGCTGAGATTACAGGCATGAGCCACTGCGCCTGGCCAAGTATAGTATTCTTAACATTGAATTTGTGTTCCAAGGACTCCTGGTAAGAGAGAAGACTCAGGTTTGCCCATGCCCATCAAAAGGAGGAGCACACTGCTGTTCTCAGTCTATTGGTTGTTTTGGCATAGATCTTTGTGGCTTTTGTTTCTGTTTCTTTTTGTACCCAATAGCCATAACTATTGTTTGCTAATTATTTTCCTTTTCTTTATTGCAGCCTTACCTTCTAGTTCTCTGCTTCCTCTTTATCACCTTTCCACTCTCCTTACCTCCCCAACACTCAAATTACTAGAAGTCTTTGGAAAAATACATTTCCTCACTGGTTTGTTTACCCCAAATTTATATCGATTAACTTTTTACCATTCTAGGGATTTTTATCTGGGTAACATAGGAAGTTGAAGAAGAAAGTATTGAGACTCTTTATCAAGGCCTTTTGATAGCATTTGTGTAGCTGAAAATAATCTTGGGGCCAAGATAATGACCCTAACTTTAGAGGAAGATAAAGACTAGGTCCCTGAAAGATTGAACTTCCCTCTCAACCTATAGTTGTGACTTGTTATGTTACAGGGAGAAAATATCAGATACACAGAAAGACTGGAAGTTCTTTGAGGTGAGTCACTTAATGTTTTGGTGCTTTTTGATATGAAATAATTTATACCAACAACAAATGACCATTTGTCAGACACTTATTTTTAGGGAATATCCTTTCTAAAAAGGATGCTAACAAGCTATGTGCTATACCTTAAATTGTTGGTCTGATCTTCCTTGTGCAAAAGTGAGTACATGTGTAATTTTGCACAGTGTTTCAGGAATATTGGGAAATTGGGTCATCTGGGTTTGTGTCTGCTTAGCTGCGTTATATAGACAGGTGGGAGTTTTCCATTTCACAGCTAAGGATTGTGATTCTTGTCTATTTTTTGTTATAGTCCTTTTACACTTTCTGTACATATGTGGCTTGGATTGTCTTCCGACGTCAACACTTGACAGAGATTGAAGAAGAAGTAGGGAGACTCTTTCGTACCAATATGTTCAACATTCCTCGCAGGAGGCGTGAAGATGAGGAATCAGGAGGGGAAAAGAAACGCATGACTTTTGTTCAGTTTAGGTATGACTTTTTGACTTTCCTATGCTCAAGGATATTTCTTTTCTTCCTTTCTTCCTTTCCTTTCTTTTCTTTTCTTTTTTCTCCTCTATTTTATTTTATGTTATTTTTTTGAGACAGAATCTTGCTCTGTTGCCAAGGCTGGAGTGCAGTGACACAAGCTTGGCTCACTGCAACCTCCAACTCCTGGTTCAAGCAATTCTCCTGTCTCAGCCTCCTGAGTAGCTGGTATTACAGACATGCACCACCACGCCTGGCTAATTTTTTGTATTTTTAGTAGAGACGGAGTTTCACCATGTTGGTCAAGCTAGTCTCGAACTCCTAACCTCAGGTGATTCACACACGTCAGCCTCCCAAAGTGCTGGGATTACAGGTGTGAGCCACCGTGCCTGGCCTCGTCTTCTTTTTTTCAGATAGCATCTCGTTCTGTCACCCACGCTGGAAGGCAGTGGCATGATCATAGTTCACTGCAGCCTCAACCTCCCAGGCTCAAGTGATCCTCCTGTAGCTAGGACTGTGGGCATGCTGTCTCGCCTGGCTAATTTTTGAAATTTTTTGTAGAGATGGAGGTCTTGCTATGTTGCCCTGGCTGGTCTCGAACTCCTGGACTTAAGTGATCCTCCCGTCTTGACCTCCCAAAGGGTTGGGATTACAGGCATGAGCCACTGCACTTGGCCTCAAGAACATTTCTAGAAAACAGGGTTGTATGACCTAAATGTCACCTTCCTCCCCAACAGGAGAATGATGGCAAAACGCCCAGCAATTAAAAAAGCCATCAACATGCGTTCTCCAGTCATGTCTACTGTGCTGCCATCTCTCAGAGAAAAAGCTCAAAACGTCTTTGAGAAAAAGTATCATCAAGTAGACGTCAGATTCCCAGCTGAGATGCAAAAGCATGTGGGAGCTTTGGACTCTGTGTCCATGCCAGTGTAAGTGGCTTGGCAAGAGAAACATGAGTGCCTTGAGGTGGCATCCCAGGTGGGACTGGAAGGGGCAGGGGCCCTCTGCCAGGGAACTGAGCCATGATGACAGCCCCCATTTTCTTACTTCTGCCTTGCTGCCCTCCTAGTTTCCTTTCTAGAGAATCTTGAGGTACACCCATCTAGACCAGAAAAAAAATTGCTAGAAAGTGGTGCTAGACTCCAAATAGTTCTAGTTTGGAGGAGTGAGTAACTGATTTATTTATTATTATTATTATTTTTTTTTTTGAGACAGAGTCCCTCTCTTGTTGCCCAGGCTGGAGTGCAGTGGCCCAATCTCGGCTCACTTCAACCTCTGCCTCCCGAGTTCAAGTGATTCTCCTGCCTCAGCCTCCTGAGTAGCTGGGATTATAGGCATGCGCCACCAGCTTGGCTAATTTTGTATTTTTAGCAGAGATGGGGTTTCTCCATGTTGGTCAGGCTGGTCTCAAACTCCCAACCTGAGGTGATCTGCCCGCCTCGGCCGCCCAAGGTGCTGGGATTACAGGTGTGAGCCACCGCGCCCGGCCCTGTAACTGAATTTTTTTAAGGCTGAGGTTTTTCTATTAGTAGAATCATTTTTGAGAAATGTGGGAAGCGCTACTACAAAATCTTGCTAAGAATTTACTTTTGGACTCATATATTAGACTACAGTAGTAGTTCATGGAAACAGGGAAGGTTTTTAAAAAGGGAGAGAGTGTATCTTAGCTTTAGTGTATGTACACACACACATACACACAACCACAATCACAGTCTCAACTCTCCACGTCAGTCTTTGGCCTCACCACTTCAGCTGTCCCAATAATTCTTTTCACAGAGTTGGCATCTTGGGGGAGCCTCGATGTCTATTCAACCCCCATACGCTTCACCCCCTTGATCCAGAAGAAAACACAAAATCATTTGAGAGACATCCTTCCCTGATGGAAACAAATAACATAAGGATTCAGGATACACTGGACTTGGTCATGAAGACACTGTCCTCTCAAACATCATGCCCTAAGTAACCTGGTACATTCCATTTCTGTGATAAGTCCCTGTATCTCAAGTAAACTACTTTGACTTTATAGAAGATCGTTATTCATTATTATTAAGCTTTAAAAATTTTTCAGATTGTCTGGTTAAAAGTTGAACAGCAGACAAAGAATTCCTGAAAGCTCTTGAAAAGCTCATTTTCCTATTTTTAGTAGTTTGCTTTATTGTTTATTTATTTATTTGAGCTCTATGTGACTACTAAGAGTAATGTATTAGAACATTTAGTCAGTGCTCTAGTGTACTAGTGAAGAAACATTCGTTTATTTTTCGATTTTTTTTTTTTTTTTTTTTGAGACGGAGTCTTGCTCTGTAGCCCAGGCTGGAGAGCAGTGACGTGATCTCGGCTCACTGCAACCTCCACCTTGGTCAAGTGATTCTCCTGCTTTAGCCTGAGTAGCTGTGATTACAGGCGTGTGCCACCATGCCTGGCTAATTTTTTTGTATTTTTAGTAGAGATAGGGTTTCACCATGTTGGCCAGACTAGTCTCCAACTCCTGACCACAAATGATCTGCCTACCTCGGCCTCCCAAAGTGCTGGGATTACAGGTGTGAGCCACTGCACCCGGCCTTGTTTGTTCATTTCTAAGTTCATTTTTGCCTTATGAGATGTCTTCTTTGGTACACGGGGAAACAAAACTTCATAATTAAAAAGGCAAATTAATACTTTTTAACTTTAATCTCTTTCTATGACTATATTATTATTGTTATTACTGGCATTGGGATTTAAACTATATCAGATTCATTTAGAAGCCTTTTAACATTCGTTCTTTCATTCAACAACAAATATATATTAAGCCCCTATTCCATCCAGAGCCATGTACTATGTTATGTAGGAAAAAAGATGAAGACAAACACAATATCCTCCAGGTCTATGTAGCAGAGAAGATAAATAAAATACATCATCACAGTATAATATTAAATATGTTGTTAGCCACAGAAGTGATAAACGCACGAAGTGCCTCAGGAAGACAGAGCCATGGAGCAGTCAGTTCTGAGGGCAGCAGGAGAGTTCTGATTTGAACTTAGCTTTGGGGGATTCGGTGGTACTGAAAGGGAACTTGCAGTTAGAGGAAGAGCGCTTGCAAAGCCACAGAGTTGGGAAAGTGGACCCTGTGACTGCGGAGTGCCAAGAGCATGGTGTCTGCAGTGGGCAAGCCTGAAAGGTCAGCTGAGTCTTGGACATCCAGCTAGGGAGGAGTTGGATGTTATCTGGTAGGCAGTGAAGATAAAGAATCGCTAATAAAACCAATTCACTAGATGGAATATAGAGCTGTTGATTATATCATTTTAAAAGTCTTGTAAGGGTATAGAATTTAGTCACCTGAAACAATGGGACTAAATTTGCCAGGCCACAGGTTTATCCTCAGACTTCAACATCCTCCTTTCGGCATTCAGCTTCATAGAAAAACTGTACACCTTTCCCAGATTCAATATCCAGGGCAGAGGAACATCAATTCCAGCCTATTGATATTGGGGCAGCTTTTTAAACATGCACTCTGTCTTTATCCTCTCATCCTTTATTACCGACGTCAACTCTTGGACTATTGGCTAACCCTGGTTGGCCTTTTTTTTAAAGTGGAGAATTAGATTATAATAAACTCTGTTATAACAAATTTTTAACTAGAATATGTTGACATGGTTTTTTTGTTTGTTTTTTGAGACAGGGTCTTGCTCTGTCAAAGAGGCTCCCAGCCTTGAGTACAGTGGCACATTCATGGCTCCCTGTAGCCTCCACCTCCTGGACTCAGGTGACCCTCCCACCTTAGCCTCCTGAGTAGCTGGGACCACAGGCACGTACCACCACACGCAGCTAATTTTTGTATTTTTTGCAGAGACAGGGTCTCACCATGTTTCCCAGGCTGGTCTCGAACTCCTGAGCTCAAGCAATCTGCCTGCCTTGGCCTCCCAAAGTGCTGGGATTATAGGTGTGAGCCACTGCACCTCCTGTTTTGTTTAAAAAGTCTTTTTTTTTTTTTTGAGATGGAGTCTCGCTCTGTCGCCCAGGCTGGAGTGCAGTGGCGCCATTTCGACTCATTGCAAGCTCCGCCTCCCGGGTTTACGTCATTCTCCTGCCTCAGCCTCCCAAATAGCTAGGACTACAGGCGCCAGCCACCACGCCTGGCTAATTTTTTGTATTTTTAGTAGAGACAGGGTTTCACCGTGTTAGCCAGGATCATCTCGATCTCCTGACCTTGTGATCTGCCTGCCTCAGCCTCCCAAAGTGCTGGGATTACAGGCATGAGCCACCGCGCCCAGCCCGTTTAATAAGTATTTTTTAAAAAGAAAATCCTGGAATTATGAGACTTTTGTAACTATCTTTACTAGGCTTTTCTCTCCCTCCTTTCTGAACTATGAGGCTTAGATGTATTTATTTATTAATTCATTCTTAAGTTTACATTTTTTTTCCTACAATTACTATGTCCCCACTCTATGCTAGGCACCACATTAGGTGCTGGGAATTCAGTGTGGATGAAATAAATATAGCCTGCTCAGTTATGGAACTGACAGTCTTGAGGGAAGACAGGCATGAAACAAATACTCAGATTATGAACAAATTGTCATGGTGATGAGTGCTGCAAAAGAGAAGAGGATGCTGTTAGAATGTATCATCAGAGGCCTGCTAGTATGAGGGAGATTGTCAGGGAAAGGGAAAGTCATCCCTGAGGAATCGACATTTAAATCTGAGAACTGATGACTCAAAGGAGTTGGAGAGGTGGAAATTTAGGAGGGGAATATTCCTGGTTGTCTTCATTATCTACTGCTGTATAACATTACCTCAAAACATTGTGGCTTCAAACAGCAACATTTATTGTCTCACAGTTTTGGTAGGTCAGGAATATGGTGGCAGTTAGCTGACTCCTTTCACTCAGGGTCTCTCAAAAGGCTTCAGAGTGACAACCAGGGCTAAAGTGAAGTCATTTAAAGGCTCAGTTGGGGATTGACTCCACTGCAAAACATCACTGAAATAAATTAAAGAAAACCTAAATAAATATGAAGATATCTTATGTCGGTGGATTGGAAGACAATATTGTTATGATGGCAGTAATCCCCACATTAATCTACACATTCTATGCAATCTCTATCAAAACTCTAGCTCAGTCTTTTGCGGAAACAGACAAGATGATTCTAACATTTATATAAAATTGTAAGGGTTCCAGAATAGCCCAAATAATCTTGAAAAAGAAGAACCAATTTGGAGGACTAACACTTTCTGATTTCAAACTTACCACAAGCTTTAGAAATCAAGACCGTGTGGTACTGGCATAAGAACAAATATTTAGATCAATGAAATAGAATCAAAAGTCTAGAAATAAACCCATGCATGTATTATGGGCCATTTATTTTATTTTATTTTATTTTATTTATTTTATTTTTTTTTTGAGACCAAGTCACCCAGGCTGGAGTGCAGTGGCACAATCTCAGCTCACTGCAAGCTCTGTGCCTCCCGGGTTCATGCTATTCTCCTGCCTCAGCCTCCCAAGTAGCTAGGACTACAAGCATCTGCCACCACGCCCAACTAAGTTTTTGTATTTTTAGTAGAGACGGGGTTTCACCGTGTTAGCCAGGATGATCTCGATCTCCTGACCTCATGATCTGCCCACCTTGGCCTCCTAAAGTGCTGGGATTACAGGCGTGAGCCACTGCACCCAGCCAGGCCGTTGATTTTTGATAAGGGTGCCAAGATAATTCAATGGGGAAAATAATATTTTCAACAAATGGTTCTGAGACAACTAGATATTCACCAGCAAAAGAATAAGTTGGATCCATACCTCACACCATATGCAAAATTGAAGTCAACATGGATCATAGACCTAAATATAAGAGGTAAAAGTAGACTATTAAAAGAAAACATAGGAGTAAATCCTTATGTTGTTGGGTTAGGCAGTAGTTTCTTGAATACAACGCCAAAAGCACAGGCAACCAGAGAAAAATTGGTAAATTGGACCTCATCAAAATTAATAACTTCTGTGCTTCAAAGGACACTATTAAGAAAATGATGGTGATGGTTGTATAACTCTGAAAATACTAAAAACAACCAAATTGTTACATTTTAAAGAGTGAATTACATGGCATGTGGATTATATTTCAATAAAGCCATTATAAAGAAAAATAAGAAAGTATAAACCCAACCCCCAAAATGAGAGAAAATATTTGCAAATCACATATGTGAAGAATCTAGTATTCAGAATATGAAAATAACTTTGATTTCACAAGAAAAAAGACACAATATTTAAATGGACAAAGGATTTGAACAGACATTTATCCAAAGAAGTTGTATAGCTAACCAATAAGCCCATGAGAAAATGCTCAACATCAGTAGTCATTTAAAAAATGCAAATCCAAACTACAAGGAGATACCACTTCACACCTACTAGGATGGCTGTAAGCAAAACAACAAGAAGTGTCGGTGAGGATGTGGAAAAATTGGAACCCTCCTAACATTGCTGGTGGGAATGTAAAATGATGCAGCCACTTCAAAAACTAGCATTTTCTCCAAAAGTTAAGCATAGAGTTACCAAATGACCCAGCAATTCCACTCCTAAGTACATCCAAAAGAAATGAAAACATTATGTTCATGCGAAAACTTGCCCATGAATGTCATGGCAGTATTATTCATAACAGTCCCAACATGGAACAACCTAAATGTCCTTCAGTTGATGAATGGATAAACAAAATGCAGTTTAGCCATATAGTGAAACATTACGCAGCCGTAAAAAGGAATGAGGTACTGATTCATGCTACAAGGTGAATGAAATTTGAAAATATTATGCTAAGTGAAAGAAGCCAGACACAAAAGGACACATAATGTGTGATCCCAATTGTGTGAAATGTCCAGCATAAGCAAATCCATAAAGACAAGGTATTATTAGTGGTGCCAGAAGCTGCTGGGAGGAGGGAAAGAGCAGTGACAGCTAACAGGTGGAGTTTCTTTTTTTTTTTGAAACGGAGTCTCACTGTGTCGCCCAGACTGGAGTGCAGTGGTGCAGTCTTGGCTCACTGCCAGCTCTGCCTCCCGGGTTCACGCCATTCTCC